TTCCTGCTCGGGACCCGAAGAGCTGTGTGACGGTGGAGGAGAGCCCCTCGCCCAGACAGTGTGAGATGGAGACCGCAGGCTCTGACTGCATCCGTGGACTTCAGTACTGACACGATCTCTCCCCTGTTAACCCAAGCCATGTTTGAAACACACCTTGGAAAACAAACGCTTAGGCCAGGGACATGCACTTCCCACGTTCACCTGAGCTGCCTGCCAGCGCGCTCCTAAAACTAAGCGCATTTGAAGCGATCATAGGCTGGAAATCCAGACGCCGGCATTAACAGATGATGATGACTATGCAGAGATAAATCGCTACTGAAACAAAAACTAGGATGTTTTTCTATGCGCTGATAAGCACAAGGTTCCCTCAGCAGAGAGGGGCTGGCACACTGGAGAAGGCAGTGTGTGGGTCAGTGTCACAGCTGTGGTGTCCAGGGCACGGTGTCCACAGCGTGCCCGCGCTGACCCTTGGAGCACAGAGTTGGTTCCCCCCGACGAAGCTGCTGTGGCTGTGCCGCACCGTGCACGCAGCACGCACAGGCAGCGGGGGCCGTCGGGAGAGGCATCTCACCTCAAAGGCCCGATCCTGGTGGGAAGAGATGGGCACCCCTGCAACGCCTGGAGAAGGCGATGCTTTGGTTGAGTTGTTGAACGGTGAGGCACGAGCAAGGTCCACGCGGGGTGAAATCAAATGCAGTCGTGGTTACACGTGAGCAGAATCAATTATCACCCCACTGTAAGCTGTGGAGGAACGTCTCATGTACATCCACCAGAGGCTGGGAACAGCAGGCAAGGAAGCTCTCCTCACACCTACTTCTTTTGCAAGTTAAAAACTGCTGTCGGTTTGCTCTGCTATCCCCATTTCATGTTCTCAGCATCAGCTTCGTTGTCTTTAAGCTCTCAATTGACTCCGTATCTTTCATGATGGCATCCAAGTACAGACACATGCCACACACATCCTGAGGAGAACCTTGAAGAGGAGGGGGGCGAAACACGACCCTTGTCATAGAATCATATAATCATTAAGGTTGGAAAAGACCTCTAAGATCATGAAGTCAAACTGTCAGCCAAACACCACCCTGCCTGCTAAACCATGTCCTGTAGTGCCACATCTACAGGTTTTTTGAACACCTCCAGGGATGGTAACTCCACCACCTCCCTGAGCAGCCTGTTCCAATGCCTGACCACTCTTTCAGTAAAGAAATTTTTCCTAATATCCAATCTGAACCTCCCCTGACACAACCTGAGGCCATTGCCTCTCGTCCTATCGCTAGGCTTGCAGGAGGCTGTCCCGGCACAGGGGTGCCCCAGGGCCAGCAGCCACCCAGCCCTGCCCAGGGCCGGGGGGGGCCGGGTGCTGGGACCCGGTCTGTCCCCGTTCCACGCATGCCCTGGAGCAGCGTGAGGAAGCAGGGCTTTGCTGCACAGCCCTCTCACAGGGCCTCTTGCTGCAGGCTGTCACCTCCCAAGGGCTTCCGTGCCACACGGTTATTCCCATGAAGCCAGAGGCTGTTTATTTGGTTTTAGGGTTCCGTGGCCCGGTTCACACCCTAGCATCTGAAGAGGTTTAGCAACAATTCCACCTTCACTGTTTTCCTGCTCTTTTGAACCCTATTGTGATGAATATTGCACCGAAAATGTGGTCTCTATTTCATAAGGATCAATATAATCTGCTCCCAAGTCCCTGTGCTTTCTCTTTTATACTTGGCTAGGAAAGAAATGACTGCGGTGAAAAGGAAGGATCTGGAGATCTGCCAGTATTTCTGACAACTAGAACACAATATAAAGCCATAAAACAACAAAGGTTTCTACGGGGCACCATGTAAAAGATTTTCTACAAACCAACCTCAGCTCTGTAATGATCTGCCTAAATAATTATCGGATCATTGTTTAACACCTTGGCATCAAACGGTTAGTTCAAGAAAGCAATTCATTTAAAATACAAAATCAATATTTTGCTATATAGTTTCTGCTGAGCCTGCTTTTCTAACCATTCTGGGACTCTCCTGAGCAACACAGCAGCTGAAGCTTTATGTTATTATTGCACTAACCTTTCATCTTTGTTTAACAATATATTTATTTTTCTAAACAATAGCTGGGACTGAACTGGGTTTGAAAAGAAAGGTGTGGACAGCCAGTGAAGTTCAATCAAAGCGGATGTGAACAGGTTCAAAACATAGCTTGTTTTTTTTTTATGACAGGACCTCGCCAAATACAGAAGGAAAGGAGGGAAGGTACCTGGGGTCAGGGGGCTTCCACCGTGCCATCTGTCAGATTGTGCTGTGAACAGCTTCCAGCACAACCAAACTTAAAAGACACTACTTCTACTTTTGATAGGAAGTAAAAGCCCGGGGCTGACACAGTCATCATTTTTTCTCTGCTTTCAACCGAGCTGGGGAATTGTTTGGGTAAGGGTACTTAGTGCGCTGCACCGAATGAGGTACGTATCTGAGCAGATAAGAAAACGGACTTAGTATCTCTTCGTTCAGCAGATGAAGACATAAAACGGAGCACACCATAGAGAAAGGACTATTGATTCTACTTATTCTGTTTTTTGATGAGCACTCAGATCATCTAGGTGGTTTTTGCAAACGTTATTTCTTAATCCACCTGCCCCTAACAGCCATAATCCCGTTAGACAAGTACATATAAGGATCAGACTGAATCCATGCTAAAAAACAGTTTGAAGGGTTATTTTTGCTTGAACCAGGAGTGAACTGGAACCATTATTCTGAAGTGTTCATGGAACGTAGGCTGGGCTTGATTACTTTTTTTTAAAAGCCTTTCAGCTCCCTAGATAAAACCCAACTGAAAATTCAAATAAACAAGCTAAAAAAAGACTATATCAGTGAGATGCTACACCAACAGGAAATATTTGTGCTTATGTTGATGTTTGCTGTCACTAATATTGTACCAGAATGTCAAGGCTGAAAACGATGTCTCAGAAATCCTAGAGCTGTAGTGCTGGGTAAGGAGTTTTATGCTGAGCCAGGCAAGCAAGGCAACACGTTTAAAACCCACCATATTAATAGCCCATTTATTTAAACAAAAGACTATTCTACCATATGGAGGTTACAAGAGACATTAACACAAAATGGATGAAAATGAAACATATCAGGCCTTTATGCCTGTTAACACATCTCCTCTTATAAGGCAAATGAAGACACAAACCATAATACCTCTCCATCTCACATGCGCTGTCTCAAACACACACACAAGTTATAGGAAATGACATCAAGCCATTGGGCGCAAACCTAATTCCAGAGTAGGCAACGGTTCACACAGTAACGTGGTTTTAGGAGTCCTGACAACATGAGAAGTGGGATCCAGCTCTGCACCTGTAAACTACCAGCCCTGGTAGATGGGAGAGCTCCTGGTTAATCTGTCATCACCGCTTGTGTTACCTTCAGACAACATGCTTATGGCCTCGTCGGTTTGCTGGCTGTCAGTTGTCGATATCTTCTTTGAATCATGGGTGTTGCTTGGGTAGTTCACGGGTGAGGGATAGGCATTTTCACCCACAGTTGATGAGGACAATGATTCCCAGGGTATTTCTCTTTTTCGCCATTTCAGGTCCACTCTCCATCCTGTCCAGCCATAGAAAGCCAACGTGAAGAGGAAGCCTTGCATCGGATTAAGAACCCCCTAGGAAAGAGAAGTGCAACAGGACTCACACCAGCAAGGCTTCATTTTGAGCTCCAGCAAAACTTTTTGCATCCATTAACAATTTTCCTTTCACTGAACAACTGCTGTTTTTACAAGATGCGACTGGCATGCAAATAAAAGTGTATGTTGTTCCCACTGAAGACACAAACAAGCCGGAGTGAAATACCACAACCTGTTGTTCCAGTATGCTGAGACCATCCCAGTGAACAACCAGCACCAAATGGTTTTCTACCATGAGTTTTAGCTGGTCAGTCCCTGGGTGCGCTTTTAACACTCCCCACAAGCTCTAGACTTTTCTATACACAAAAGCAAATATTACATTTTTCACTAGAAGCCAAGTCAAATATATAAAAGTAGACACTAGCACACAAAGTCAAGTTTTTTAAAACAGCAGCAAATGATCTGTTTGGAACTGCTGCAGATTCCTGACCCAGTGAAAAAGTCCATCAAAGTGGGATGGAAAAATGGGGAGAGACACCAAAAAAGAAAATCCCACGCGATTTCCAAAACAATCATCTCAGTTCCCAGTGCTGTGGGATATTTGGCAAGTAAATGGCTTTAGTGATTTCCTTTTTCACAGGAGAAAAGAGCAAATTATTTTTACAGCCAATTTAAACAGTAGCTCAGTTCCTAGAACCTGACCCCTCACTCTGCAGGTGAGCACGAGCAAGGTCCTTGTCACATCAATGCATTCACTCCTTGTCAGAGGAGGAGTTTGTATCAAATCATTTGCATCACTTCAGCCTTCAATAGAGAAGGCTTAACTACACAAAGCCTGCTCAGGCCTCACAGGTATCTAACAGTGACAGAATAAACTTTCTTGGAAAAGGAACCTGCAGTGTCACCTCTGAAAAATGCCTTGCCAAATATTCCAACATGAGAAAAGCAGGTAGGGTACAGTAAGAGGCCAGCATCTTGTAGCTATTTTTTGGTGTATTGCTTTCAAGATTTTTAAGTATCTGTCCCCAAATAATTATCCAAATGTCATGATAAAAGATGCAATTATTCTTTATAATAAACAAAACCATAGTTACAAGCAGAGTATTACCAGAAAATGTCCATTTTATTGGGGAACCTTCGGGAATCGTGAGCTAAAACTTTGTAGCTTGCATTATGGCAGAGGTTAGCAATGTCAGACTAGAAATCATCGTAGTGGTCTGTTCTGGATTTTAAAATGGGTAGCAATCCCAGAGAAATGCATACTCCAGCAAGTGGGAGAAAAAAATGGCCTTTGGTATATTTTTGGCAAAGTTTATATGTGAAAAGCACTCCCAGTGACCGCTTCTCCCCCTCTCTTACTTTCTGCTTTTCTTCCTTGATTTTCAGAGTGTTTGTATCCTAAACAAACATAAACCACCCACTACACCGGTGCTATTCCACCAGTCTTACAAAAGTAATTCCAACACTAAGCGATGTCACAGCCGACCCACCATTATAATCCACGTGATCAGTGCAACACTTCTGACGTTTTTCAGGGGCATGTCATTGATATCTGGCTGCATTTCGAGGTAGAACAAAAGGCTCTCGTTGATGATATTGGATGACCAGCTATTGCAGGAATACAGAAGAGGAAGAGAACAAGACAGCTGTATATATGTGTATGTATTCGTAAAATATGCTTTACTTTCAACTTACAGAAATTAGCCTCACTGATCAGAAGAGTGAGACTTTTTTAATGTTAAGTTTGAATCTGAAGGGACCAGTAGGTCTCCGAGATCAAAACCCAGACACTTACTTGCTAGCCCAGGCCTAGACAAAGAAATGAATACAACAAGCAAACAAACAAGAACCTGATCATTTGAGCTTGTTGCAGAACAGTAAATTGCAGGATAAAACTGAGATGATAAACAACTCTGATCCATAATGGGAACATCATGCATGCCGACTTCTTCTACTTGTGTCTTAAAAGGAGAGTACTCACAGATAAGGAAACCAAGTATATGCCTGGGTGTTGCAAAAGGCTGCAGGAACTCTAGCTGGAGCTAGAATTTCAGGGTTATGTTACAGCAGCCTTTCAAAATGTACATTAAAAAACTACAAACCAAAACCAAAGTTGACTTTAAAATCCTTGAAAATGCCATCAGTTTTTTGAAATAAAGGGAATTTCTGTTTCCAAAGAAGGATAAGCATAGTCAAACCTCGTTCTGTGAAAGAACCTGAGGATATTCTACACTAAATAAAGGTTATTGTAAATGGCTGTAACTTCTTACATCTTCTAAACAGTCAGACCAGCATTTCTTTATAGTTCTACTGCAGCGTCAGCATCTATGCCATACTTCTAAAGGGGTTTATACATGTCCTTCCTGCAATTACATTTTTATCACAGTGTAAAAGCTCCCGCTCTCCCCTCCCAAATCTGCAGGCATCTCTTCTAACCCATGTTGGCCCAACCTGCTGTCTTTGACTAACTCGTTTCATATTTGACCTCTGGGATGGAAGGGCAGCTTCCCTGAGCTTCTGAGATGGGACTGCCTCAGTCTTCTCCTACAGTAACCTTTGAGAGAGTTTTTACACTCTAAAGCTTCTGTTTTGTCAGGAAAACAAAATCCAAAACTAGAGCTGTGATTATTTTTTTTAGTAGAAAAGCCCAGAATGAGACAGAATGCAAATAAACAAATGTCCCCACTGTGTCCTTGGGGAATTGTTCCTTTCTTTCATGTTCAGTCCCAGGCTAGCAAGCTGGCCACCATTCCTTAGGCTGCAATGCACTTACGTGGTGCCTCTGGGCTCTTTCCTTCCAGAGCCCTGGAAACCTGGCTAAATCTCTGCTCCTCGTTATTTCATCAGTTTCCAGGAAGCCATGCTGTGGGCTCCTTTGCTGCCGTCTCGCCCCCTCCCCTGCAGGTTACCCCACCCTCTGCACTAGAAAACCCTCTCCCAAGCTAAGCAGACTCAGCTATCCCCCAAGAAAAGACAATCATTTCCCTCCAGAGCACTCCAGTATACAGCAGCCAGAAGACAAAAAGGCAGTTGTTCTCTCTGCTCAGCCCTTCAAAGCAATGTAACATGCATTACTGTACCTGTGTATAAAAATGTTAAGCAGTCATAGAGACTGTGAAGTTTGGCCAAGTCATTTTGCTACTCCAGGACCATTTCCTTCCCCCCTCCTCCTGTCACTGGTGTTACCCACGTAGGTAGTAACCACTTCACAGCAGTGGCCACTTCTTGTTAGGTCACTGAACAGTCCTCGCAGAGCGGATCGCGCCCCCCCTCCTGGTGCCTTTACTGCTCTGTGATAATTGTGAGATTGCAGTAAAAACTGTTTCCTACAAAAGCAGGCCCTATTTTAGCTCAGTTTTGCTTTGGGCATCCAGTACCTCCAGTTCCAGTCACCACTCCACTGGATGGTGCTGCTGGAGCAGAGGCGCAGGGATCTGGGGATGAGGTGTGTACCTCCCTCCTTCCCCACTTCCCCTGCTCCCTCCCAGCTCTCCTCCCTATCTCTTTCCTGTGCTACTCTGAAGTCCTGTTTTCATGGAGGAAGATGGAATACTGCAAAAAACCCAAAAGATTAAATGATCAGAAATTTCACACACAATCTTATAGAGATTTCTTTTCTGCCATATAACCCTGTATTTCCAGTCGATATCCATCGTTTTTTCACACACTTGGGATCTGCAGACCACAGAGGTGGCTACATTATATCATCACTGTCAGGGCCATGAAGCCAGTCTTAGAAGCGCATTTACCATAGGTTTTCAGTGATGTGTTTGATGACAAAAGGCTCTGAGAAATCTTGAGTATAGAAAGCTGTCTATCAGCCCACAGTGCTGGGGAGCTGCTGTTCCAGTCAGCTTTAGTCTACGCCCAACTTTTTTTTGTTGCTATTGTTTGTTGGGGTTACTGTTTTCCTGTTGGTTAAACATTTTTATCATTTCCTTGCAGCCTTGTGATGCTACACGAGTGATTCAGCTACTTTGTGAAGTAGCTTAGAAATACTTCCTTGGACACCTTCCCTTCCAAGCATACAGACAAACAAATGACTCTATTCAGACTCTCTTCTTGTCCCCAACCCTCTCCAGCTGGGAAAAAGGCAGTTTAAAACAAAATAATGTACCTCTTACCAAATAACGAACACCAGCATAATTTTGAAGAAGCGGATCTGGATCTCTGTCCCCAGACGTCTTTCATTCTCTGTGTAAATCCCTTGTCTCCCTTTCAGTAAGGAGGCAACTGGAAAATACACAATGAAGTTCATTAATATACATGTATATTAGTGTTATAGGCTCAAGGATCCAGAAGACAGATGTCTGTAAAGAGGGAACAAAGGAATGGATGGACTTGTCTCCAGCAGCAGTTCAGAAGCTGGAAGGACCATCACCAAGGAATCTCACATCTTAATACAAAAGGGAAAGAAGTACATCCATTGTGGATTCCTGAAATAAGTGATATCCCACTAGCTCGTTTGTCTTCTCTCAGTCCCACTAAAAATGGAAAATAGTATGGTCAACATACTTTTCTTTCATAACAGAAGGTAGTGCTTACAACTTCCATATAATGTGTGATATAACGATAGGTTTATTACGTGATATTTAGACAAAAAGAGAATACATTCTATCCTATCCTGCACATTATATTTCATTGTGCAATTGATACAGCATTGGCTACACCTCTAAAACTTCAAGGTGTAATGTCAGCAAGAGTAGACAGTCATGCACATGCTGTTCAGATATCACACGGAATATACATACGGACACACACAAATATACTCAGTGTGTATTTTCCCATAAAAAGAGCAACTTTTTATAGGAAGAACCTCTGAGAGGAACAACTGTTCCTTTGAAAATGAGTATTACTGAGGGACGCAGGACAGATGGAATGAAGACTGAACTGAGAATACAAGGTCTTCTGTTGCTGAATAAGTATGAATTCAGGTACTGCAAACACCTAGCACTGGTCATATCACGTGCAAAGAATGCATTGAATCTGTGGCTTTTTTTCAGTTTGATTTCTTCAAAGCACTCGATAATAAATTAAATAGGAGCTTCAAAATCCCATCTGACTTGTGTACAATTCCCATTTTTTTCATAATCTCAGAATCAGGAGCGACAAAATTCTGATCATATTGTATTAGTTTTTTATCTCCAGGGCTGCAAAGAAGTTAAATCAACTATCAGATCTCACCAACATTGTCTCTAAACCAGAATAAATTACATTCCAAAGTCCAGGTTGGTACCAATACTACAGCAGAGTTAATCATCCACTACACACTGCCTCAAATACTTTAAATGAAGAGTAATTCAGTAACATAGAAACGCCTTTGTCAATCGGCAGTAGAGGTTTATAGCACCACAGCTTGACAATGTCATTGGAGTGTGTCTCCAGGGCAAATTTCCCACCAAGATGCTATCTTCACTTCAACAGGCAATTCCCTCCCACCTTCTGCTGTATCTGTATGATTTAATGAGGAGCTATCCCACATCACTGAATACACAGTCATGACTTTTTACAGTATTGTTATGTTACTAAACAGCACACACTGATTGATGCCAGCCATTAGGAACATACCTGCTGCTACCGTCCTCCTAAACAGAATTGGGTTGACCACCAGCACTAGCAGCAGTGGGACATAGGTTGTGATGTAATGTGGGACTGCATGCTCCAAGCCATTTTCACAGCTAAGAAGAAATCATGAACAGCTTATGCATTTTTTTTTCCACACCTGATCATTCTGGCCATTTTATATATGTCACCTTTATCTTAAAAAATAAAATAAAAGGAACGAAGCAAACAGGTGCTAAACTTCTAATTCACAGAGCTTCATCACCAGTTCACATAGGAAACAAAGTTGATTTTTAATATGCACGGTCGGTGCATTTTTCTCAAATACAAAGCTAAAAGCAGGAGTGGGAGAACAGTGGCTCATAGCAGAAGCTATATCACAGCCCTGTAGCACGCCCAAGTGTCTGTATTGCCTGGCATATTTCTTCCGAGCCCCCTGAAACCCAGGCAGGTATTTCTAGCATACTCGCTGACTCACTGGGACATGCTTGTCAAAGATCAAAAAAGCCCCACATTTGGGCATCTGTCTCTAAAGCTGACCGAAAGACATTCAAATGACCAGAGAGCGCTGTGGTTTCACAGCCTGTTCCCAGAGCCCTGCTCACCTGGAGAGAGAAGGGTAGTAAAGCAGTGCAATTCCCTCCACGCAGAGCATCACCGCGAGGCCCCACGTCATCATGTGGTACAGCACAATCGTACTGCGGGCACCAAACAGGACAGGCGTAATTAAAGGCACCAAACCTTACACTTTCCACATCGCAACATAAAAATAGCACCATCACTGACACAGAGCTTTACAGATACGAAATAGTGCAGAACAACACTGGCAGTACATTAAACTACGGAAAGCGGGGTTCAGGCTTGAACACAGAAGGCCAGTGTCCTCCAACCTGTAGGGTGGAAAGCCCTTCCCCTATCCCCAAATCTTCAGAAGGAACCCCTCCATCCTTCATTTCTTCTGCAGAAATCAAGTTAGGGGATTAAGACTTAAGAACAGAGCGAAACAGTCAAGTAAACCACCCGTCTGTAATTTGCAGATTTATGTTTAACTTTCAGAGCTGGATACTGCTCCTGTCTTAGGGAAATTCAGATCTGTGTGCGTAGAAAGTCTTCCGTTGTTTATCCCAATCTTAGAATCAAGCCCAAATATACATGATTTTTTTGGTTAGCAGGGATAGGGGAAGGACTTAGGTCCCAGTTGTTTCAGACTAGAACGATGGGATTCAGCAAAATCAGGTTTATCCTCCACCTCCACAGGCTGAAGTTAATTCAAAAATCCCGATTTTGATAACATCTGCCAGACAAGTCATGTCTCCAGTACCTGATTGCTCAATATTATCTGGGAACAGAGTCACATAATTCCATGTTTAGCAGTAACAACCGAAGGTCATTTTGCCCTTCCAACAACCAACTTAGAAACACCTTATATGTTCTGTCTGGCATTAAAGGAGGGTACTTTCCAAAGGGTTTAGGTTCTTCTGTTACAGGCATTGCAGAAAAATGTATAGTAAATACTTATCATTCTTCTTAAAAACTTTAGAAATATGATCAGAAGTGTAATAATGACAATACTGAAAAGTGGATAAAATAGAAAATCTGAGAAAAAAACCTGGAGAATGAACTGTAAGAAATTCAGCACTTTCCCCTTCCCACGTTTTTTCCAGGATAACAATTTTGCCACAAGAATCAATTTCAGGTACAGGGTAGGGACAAAAATAATCATCTCGCTGCAACAGAGTTCACAGAGCCCATTCTGCTCCCTGCTTTTCCAAAGGTTAAATGAATTCAGTTACATTTAAATTCCAGTTGGACATAAACAAATCAATACCTGAACATTGCCCTGGCAATTTAAGCACTTAGAACACCACTCATCCATATCATTACCTGGCAACCATATGGGCATCAGATATTTGTACCAGGCTTCATTTATACACTTAGATAGCTGCAGGCAAACACGGACATACAGCGTTGGAAGGAAAATAACAAATTCAGAGCTTTAACTCTGGTACCTCAGTCCAGCTGATCTTCTCACAACTAAGTAAGAATCAACGGCGTAGCAAAACAACCACCAGAAGCCAGCGCTGTACAATAGCTGGATCCACATCTGCAGGGGTAAAAATGCCAAATGTCACAGCTGTTTCTCAAGTACCACTGGGGACAGGGGAGCGACTCAAACCTTTGGCCTGGTGATTTGTTCTTCATGAGTGTGTGTATTCCAGCTGAGATTGTGAAGTATGAGGTCTTACTCAAAATCAAGTCATAGGTTAACTGAAGAGCATTTGCTTTCACAGCTCATTCTGTTGCTTAAAAAAACTGTTGTTTACCTTTCCAGTCTCAGCCCTCAATGTCATGAGTCAAGCCCAAAACTAAAATTCTTAAATAACAAATTTCAAGTGAGAATGTTTTAATTTTAGGTTAAAAATTTAGTAGTTTCTCAGTAGCTGAGGCTTGAATATATAACTGAGGTCAGTCAACACCACAGTGTGACTGTGTATGGTGAGTTCTGCATGTGATGGGTGTTTTCTCCACATACAAGAACATAATTCAGGGAACAGTCATTAAGAAAAAAAGGTCATTAACAAAAATATCACTCACCCTCTGGAAAAATTATCCATGCTGAACTCCCTGACTGACTTCTTTCAATAAAAATCCAAAGGAAACAGGTTCAAGTCAAGTTAAATTCCACCGCATTCGTGAGCTAACCCTATGCATTTTTCCCATGAGCCTATATAAGATAAGTGACCTTTCTTTGCTGCTGTTTATAAATTCCAAATTTCTTCCCCAGAGGAGCTGACTTTCTGTAACAGTCTGGAACTATTTTAATATTCACATTACCTTCCCTCTGAGCCCTCTTTCAGTTCTTATCTAAATATCCTTTACAGCAGCTCCATGGTAGCATCCTTTTACAGCTGGAAATCAACATACTTGTTACTGAGCCAAATGGCAGTGAATAGAGAGCTACCACTCCTTCCTCCAAAATGTAAATCAAGCTGGGAAATACTTCCTTCCACCATGGGTGTAGACCCTGCCTCTAGTCATTTGTGACACAAATTATTCAGTATTTAATTCAAACACATTGCTAGTGGACATTTTTTGCTAGTGACCAGGAGTGCACTAACATTTTGCTAGTGCACAGGAGTCAGAAAATAAAATTCCAGGCTTCCTTCTAATGCACTTTACCCATAGCACTCAGCATGCCTGTAACTCCATCTGTACTTTGACATATTTACAGTTTAAAAATGCACAGTTTACTATATACACATGCACACATACAAATAAACTGTGGGATCTTTCCACCTGGAAAATGAAACACAGACAAGATTGCCTCCAAAAATAATATAAATCAGATGCAACTAAAACCAAAATGCTCATCTGCTACCTCACTTTTTTACAAAGTGCCACATTTTGCTAGAGGGCCTGAGAAGGTACCCCTCTGCAAACCAGAGGGTGTTATTCAAAGGAGATGCCTAAAGGCCTGACTATTTGGAGTTTGTATTGGCTTGCAGTTAAGTGAAATAAAACAATACTTCTAAAAGAAAAATCAAATAGAATGAGAAACATTTTATTAACACACACAAGAATATGTCAGGGGAAGTGAGTGGAAGAAGGGTTATTTTTCATTCCAATATAATTAAATCTAAATTTAGCAAGTGACTCAAATTACGGCACTTTGCTGGAGCCCAAGAAAGTGAAAATAAAAATTGTGGTAGACCACTATGCTGCTCCTCATCTAACCTGAGATCCAAATGAAAAACAAACAGTCTGCACACAGTATCTTTGCCACTTTTTAAAAATATTATTTTTTGTGTTAAGGGCCAGAAAGTGAAATTTAAGACATAGGGAAACATGGTTTTTGCATAGGATGTTCTTGCTACAAGATATTGATGTTGCTGGTTTCCCTTTCCCCAAAGAAAAAAAAAAATCAGTATTTGCATCTAATAAGCAAAACTTAAACATGTATCACAGAATTGAGAATTGATAGATGCATACAACTGATATTTGCTTCTACAGTACAATACTACCATGCCTGAAGTTGTCATTGTGTAGACATATAAGGTACAGCGAGTTGCATTTTGGCATACATTATTGTATTTAAAAACTACTGGAGCTGAATAATGTTGTTTAAGTGCAGCATATCCTCTTCTATGTTGTAAACTTTAAATTGTAAAGCTAATACAGTTATTACTCACGCACGAATTGATTGGGCACCCTACGTTCCTACCGCATTTGGGTAAAGCGATGATCTGTCTTCTTTGCCATTCTCCACGTTTTGGTAAAAAACACGGCCTTTTTTCTTGTACAGTAAACTCAAGTTCTGTATCTCAGACAGTACTGTGATGGTAATATTTGAAAGTGAGTTTCAATCTGCACTTTTGGAATGCATTTACTTTTTGTTATTCTTGTGTTTTAATCCAGAAGACGCTTAATTAGACCTGACCAGACGCGGATATTGATCACCTGTATGAGCAGCAGTCCGTGCCGTAACCCTGCATGGCAGGGACAGACCTTCTGCCAGCAGCTTTGGGTCTCTGGGCGGATTTATCCTGCAGTGCCTCTGTGTACAAAACACACACCCTCATGCCTCAGAAGCTAACTGAAGCTACTAGAGTCACTGGTTGCAGTCGGTCCCCGCAATACGCCACCGCGCAGGCTGTCGTTCCTGCTGGAGAAGGTGGCCGGAGGCCCTCGTGCTGCGGGTGCAGCCGAGCTGCCGGGGCGTTAGCCACGCCGTGCCAGCACAAACCCAGCCAGGGCTTCCGGAGCCCATTCGGGAACGTCTGTACCCTCGCACCCGTGACTTCAGCACGGGTGTGCCCTCCACCAGCCCAGCACTCCTGTGACGGGAGACTGCTACAAAAAGCTGGGGGCCAGTGGGACTGGCACTGCCCTACGGCCTCGCACGCACCGTAGGGTGGCAGAGGCTGAAACCATCACACATCCAGGCTCTGACTCGCAGACGAATTCCCTCTCGGACCCAGCGGTTTGCCTTTCAGCCTCCCCACGCTGTCAAAGGGGAGCGGGAGGAAGGGGAGACGATCCCTGTACCTACCGCGCTCCCCACGCAGAAAGCAGAAGGCCACACGTCGGTCCCGTTCACCGCAGAAATGTTAGCTATGAAGCCTGGGAAGCCTAGCCACACGCTTGACCTGAAGATCATACCTAAAGGAAAGAGATGTATTAAGGCTTTGAATCTGCTCGTGTGATTTGAGTCACATGCCGCTTCCCAGCCGCGTACTCCACGTCGCAGCCCAGATTCTGCGCGGTCGCAGCAAGGCTGCGGCTGCAGCGGAGCAGAGCAGGAACAACTGCACTATTCATATGTTGGTGTAATCGCTCGGGGAAAAGCAGCCCCAAGAGTCTGAAGCTGCCAGGACTTGAAATGTTGTGTAGCTTAAAATTTTACTTACCTACAGATACTGTCACACACCTCCCTAAAACGAATTGGGTCGCATTTAACAGCTTGACATAAACCAGTAACTATTTACGGTTTTACTGGTATATATTCACATGCTAATATTCATTTCTCTTTAATCCCTCATTGCAGAAAAAAGTTATTATTTCCCACTTCTCCCTGTCTTCATTTATACAAGCAGCTCTTTCCTCTCTGCCACAGGACTGAACAAAGCAGGACTTTGCAATTAGGTGAGAAAAATACTCATTTTTTTAAATGAACTTACAGTCTGTTAGTGAGATTTTCTGGGTTTGCTTGAAACTGGCATTAAAGCAGTAACACAGAGCAGAACAAACCCACCAGGTTTCCCACCAAGAGAGAACAGTTTCCCACACACTGAAGTGACTCTGATTCAAAGACAACGATGGATAAATAGTTTGAACTTCCCAGTGAAAGCGAGAAAAATATCTTTCTCTATTGCTGGCCTCATGCGACTGAAAGGACCTTTTCCAGGTGAATGCATACACGTTTTTTCCATCTCTTTCGTCATTTCCCCCTTTATCATTTGTTTTAATACCAGTACTTTTTACATACCGTGAGAGAATTTGGCAAGGTATGAATGGGGAAAAAGATCTAAAAACCTACTCCCTTCCCAGACAGCGAGAGAGACTTACAAAACAGCACTACTTCTGTTATCTAATGTGAGAAAAAAAATGCTTTTGTAGAAAAAAACTCATCCTGTATTTTCATAGCATGTGTCATGCTAATTTATACCCAATTTGGCACTAAATGCCATAGACTGATGGAACAGACTTAGACAAATTAGTTTCATTTTGACTCATGAGTTTTGTTTTATTCTCTGTTTTATTTCTCCAGCCTATCAGCCAGGAGCCGGGCAGCAGGTTTTCCTTGATAAGGGAGCTTCACTCACTCTCATTTCAAAAGCCTGTGTCCAGCATGATCTGCGTACAGCTGCAATTCAAACTCATTTGCCGTCGATTCGATGTGCCCAGAGAAGTGGCTGGCACATGAACAAGACAGCAAACTTGGTCTGAGAGGATTTAAAGACGTATAGGAAGTGTTTTTCAAATGTAGTCCTAAGAGTTGGCTACGTGTTTGATGTCAGCTTTAGTTTTAAATGTGCTGCCTCACCTCCTCTTCTATGCCTTACTCTGAGAACCAGACATTGTTCTGGATTTTAATTTGTTTTAAAGCAGAGATTTTGGTGTAGATTTGTCAAGAGCTTTTACTTCTAAACTATAACTGCTAAAGAAGACCTTTCTCCCCCAGAGGCCCGTCATTTTCTGATCTCACTGAGCCCAAACCTTCCTGTGAATACATACAGCACATTTCCCTCAGAAATCTCTGCTGTCCACTCACCAACTTCATTTGGCTATGGCACCTCCGAGCAACAAGAGCCTGCTACAGCAAAGGTGAGGGACGTGAAGCTGGCGCTTACCTAAGCCACCAAGGATGTCACAAATGGAGATAAGGAGAAGGATGGTGGAAGAGGAGGAGGCTTTGGGCATCTTCCGCAGGCTCTGTCCCTTCTTCGGCAGGAGCTGCAGGATGGTCAGGAGCAGACTGACAGAGGCGCTGCCAATGCAAACTCCGCAGAAGACTTCAGGCTGGAAGCTCATCACTAGCTGAGTAGCTGCATCCCGGTTCGGGCAGCAGTAGGTTTCTAACCTGGGAGAAGCCATGAATTGTCCAGCTGGTGGAAGGGCCCCACGAGCAGAAGGAACTGCTGTTGCTTCCCCAAGGCAGCGTTCGCTTTTGCTTCACCCTCCCCATTAGTCCTCTGTGGTGAGAATCACGCGATTGATGGATCATGTGCTGCTGCTAGAACTAAATCCCCTAGAGCTGCCTTTCTCAGCCTCTCCTAGCTAGGAGATCAGATCCGAACAAGAAAACACAGTGTAATCTGAAACATGCCCCATGCTTGCTCAGAGCCATTGGCAACAGTTCACTCGCATATTTCTGCTTGCACAGCACGTGATACAGGAAGACTGAAACTCACCAGAGCATTGAAGATGGTTTAAAATAAATAAGGATGCAGATACCAAAGGAGAAGCATTACATTTTAATTGTGTTTCTCTTCAGACCCATCCCACACAGCACCCTTTAATTACTGCGAATTAATTAAAAAGATGAGTCCAGACACAAGCACTCCCAGCCCTTACAGGGAGGAGCAGCGCTATAAATCCACACCCTAACCCAAATCTAAATTTTAGTGATCCAACCCACCCATCCCTGTAATTAGAATTAGAAACACGATATCCTGCAACTGTAGAAAGAGATTACATTTAGGAAGACCATATTAACCTCATCCTACTTAAACCACAAGTGCAAAAACTCTTCTCTTTAGTCTGTACTGTCTGCATCGGATCAGCTTGACATGGAACATTCCAGGACTTTTGATTTCTCAAGAATATTTTTCTTTTTTTTTTTTTTTTATTTGGTAAGGGTTTAATATGAAAACAGGAATTGGACCTGTAATACTTGTTTCTACTTCATAAGCTAGGCAATATCCTTTAGATCGGGCGTCGTATTAGACACAGCAGCAAATACTTGCAACCATAAATACAAAAATTAACTCTCCTCTCTCAGCTGAGTTCTAAACTCTCTGTGTCAGCCCTCACCCCTTCAGAAAACTTGTTTGTAGGAACACGTTCAGGGAATACAGGAGGGAGCACTGCCAACAGACTTGAAGTGAACTGGATGTCAAATAACAGAGTCATGGATTTTATACTTAGTCCTTAACAGAATGAATGACCTAACCTTTTATTTCTTTTTTTCCAATGGCCCAGCTTATTTTTTTAGCAGAAATTATGAAGGTCTGATGAATGACAGTGGGATGTTTTGCGTGCAGGGCTTATAAAACACAGAGGCTTCAGCCAGTATGTTTGCCCTCAGCAGGGAGAGCAGACATCAGTCCTGAGTAAAATGGTGCCTGCTGAGTTCTTCGTTACGCAAGGCACCTCGTACACATGATCCCAGCACAAGAACGAACCCCACCGAGCTCATCAGCCTGCTGACCGCTGGTGGGGGCCATGCAGCCTCCCGGTGTGGGACGGCAGCGGCAGAGCTTGGGTGGCAGCTGAAGGCCAAAATGCCAGGCATGCCGTGCGTCCACCCAGCCGGCTCCCAGGGGACTCTGCCCGCACTAGGTCACCCCAAGAGCAGGATGCTAGCTTGCAGATTCAGGCTCCTACACACAGGTGTCCATACATTGGCATGGCAGCTGAACTCCTGTATAGTCAATCAAGATCTTAGGCAGCTAAGTCTAGAGTCTAGACTTAGTCTGGAGAGCTGTTCAGCTCTTCCTAAAATAAATGCACATGGAAGCTGAGTAGGCTCCAGTGACTATAATAGGTATTTAGGCTTAAATGTCATTAAAGACTCTGAAATCCAGGCAGCCGAGTTTGAAACTGAATGTTACCTGGGTGTTTTTGCTGCTTTCCAGCATAAAGAGATTTTCCTACTCCATGGATGAGGACAGGTGAGTGACCTGGATGTTGCAATCCTATGTTTTGTTACTATCATGTATACAAAAATATACTGGGGACAGCAAGGTTGCGAACCAGATTGCCCTGCTCCAGAAATACAAACTCTTGTTGAGGTACAGGAGAATACCTATGCTCTGTTAATACAAGGCTCTGTTGTTAGTACAAGGTTGGGACTCTTCAGGCTTCATTCCACCTCTGCTAAAGCAGCGGTGCACGGAGTTGCCACCTCTCTGTGAAGACACCGCATTGCAGTCTACCTGGCTACAAAAGAACAAAAATTACAAAGATTCCACAGAGACAGATTACTATTTTGAATAAAGCCATCATATACCGCATATACAATGCAAATCAATTCAAATTAAAACAAATTATGTTTGCTGTCATTTGAATTTAAATTTATATTGCCTGGTTTATATTTAGAACAGCAAAATTTTTAGATTATTAGACAGAAACTGTTGAAGAGAAACCTTTCATTTCCACTATCAGATTCTAAAATTCTTCCTCTCACTGTTCCTGTTGCCATTTTCCTTCCTTCAAAAAATTTGAAAAGCGTGTCAAGTTGTTATCCGGATTATTTGTTCTGGCTTACAGATAGACATTTTTTGTGTGTTTTGCTTTTTCTGCTTATGATCTGTTTTCAGTGATCCTAACCAGAGTTTAGTAGTTTGTCCCTGTGGATTTATCATTTCATTATTTTAACTTCTCCCTTTATTCAGCTATTTTGAAACTACTTTCATGCCTCAGTTGTAGTCTTATACTCTGGAGATTAACCTTTTTTTAATCCTCCTGTCTTTTTCTCGCCACAGTTTTGCCAGCTGTGCACCCTGTTTTTATTGCTTTACTTCTCTGAGTGAGGAATTGCTTTTTAACCCCTTCTTTTGGGTCCCTTCCCTCCTACTCTCTCAGGATTTGATGACATAGCTACTTACAGAGAGACTAAGTGATTTTTATTGGAAGCAAAGTATATGACCTGTAGCATTACTAATGCAAAAAGCACATAAGGTGATTCACGAGTGAATGGATACCTGCCATGATACAAGAGGATGTGTCTTTACATGTGGAGATCTGAGACTGAGTGGGAGATGGATCTGCCAAATTAATGAGCCACCCAATATCTCAGCTGAGTCTCCGGCTCTCGCTGCTGGGCTCAAAGTATTAAGAGCCAGAACAGTCAAAGAAATTCAAAGCTGGTTTGTTAGTCTTACACCTGAGATTAATTTGGTTTCTTATGATTATGAAAAGAAGAGGATAAAAGCTGGGGACAAAGGCAAAGGAAACAGAAAAGTAATGAGAGAAAGTTGTTAAGGAACATTATTTAATATTCAATAAAACTTAAGTCATTCTACAGGTCCCAATTCCCTTCCCTCTGAAATTAATGACACAGTTCTCACTGCCGCCAGTGGTACGAAACAGACCCACAAAAAAGGTTATGTCTCTCATTTATGCACCAAGGCAGGATCTCAGTCAAGCAAATGGTGTCGCTTGGAGACAATCATTAGCACACATACAAGAAACAATAAAAAAACCCCTCAGCATTGCAAATACCAATCAATCAAACTCAAGGCGTAAGTACAACACCGCACAACAGTGAAAACCCCAGTCCTGGTTTTGTGCATTGGCAGCAGTGTGCTCAAGAGTGAGAAAAATACTGTGCTCCTTGTGAGGAGAACAGGCAGGTACTCCACACACACAGCTTTTAGAAATACCTACTCACGCTCTCCTCGGACCTGGGACATAATGTTTCAGTCCAGCCCGTGTTCATCATTAAGATGAAACACTGGCTTGCCTGCTTCTAGGAGAAAGCAAAAGGTTTACAGAAATACGACAGGCATGCATTTCTGCGGTTAAGGAGTGTGTTATAGATTATGCTTGAGTGTGCAGTTACAGATACTTTAATCACTGTTTTAATTAAATCTGGGACTACAGCACTGGTTTGCAAAGGAGAAGGAAATTTACAGATACAGAGGAGAATTTATTTTTGTTTACGTGTACGGTTCAGTGCATCACTGCCTGAATTTACAGCTCACAGTGAAGATCTCAGCTACCTTACCAATGTAAAAACTGCATTTTATCAATAGTTCATGATCTCATAGTCTTTTACACATTATCTGATAGAGCATTTCCCAAACTGACAAAAGCTGGGTCTGTCTTCAAGCTAAATGGATGCAATAAAACCAGTTATGATCTTCCCAACAGATCCTGCAATACGTTCTTAAAGACCTTAACATACAAATCTTCTGTATGTTTAGCATAGTTCTTCATTATATCCACACAGACCTCCTGTAATTAGATTTACTTTGGAAGAAACTGTAAGATATGTCCTTCTCATAATTATCAGTACTAATTTTTAAAGCTAATTTTAAATTGGCTTTTCACTTAATGCATAACTGAAATAAATGGGGGAATTCACACCCCATTGTTTCTCTTTCAAGCTTTCTGCAAATTTAGGCATGGGTATTGGAACAATAGTGATATTCAAAGTGTAACATCTGTCATGATTATAACAGCTACAGACTCCATTAAAAAGAACTGGAAGAAAACCAGAGGTATCACTTCCCTTCCCTCAGTGATTTGAATGTAATTACAGAGTTGTAAATTATTAATTTACATTTAAGGATGGTGAACATTAACTTAAAAGGATGAGAATGAGTGTATTTCCTTTGCATAAAAATAATAATGTTTGAGTTCTTTTTGTTTTCTTTAAGAATGAAAGCATAAATACATGAAATGAGTGTGCATTTAAACAGCTCAGTAATTGTGTCTATTTGACTGATGCTATTGTGTTACACATATTTTATTGACTTCTTATATACCTTCTCCAAGGAAATGTTATCATACCTGACTTTTGTGAAGAAACATACAAAAATTAGTTATTGAAATTGTGCCCTATTATGCATTTAAATTGGTAAACAAGGTTCATATGGATGAAGTGCAAAATAACTGAGTAGAAAAATGCCTCTGTAAACTGGAGAAAACAATTTTTGCTTAGGGATTGGAAGAACAGAATCCCTGCTTCTTTATGCCAATGCTGAGAATATCAGAGTCTTTGAACCTGCATAAAGACAGATTTTGAGGCCACATTTCTGGACAAATTCCACCAGTGATGATTGTCATTGTTACATTAGTTCACAGACAAAAAAGATACCTCCCTTTCAGCATAGATGTAATACAGAGACCTTGTCCCACACCTACAC